TCCAAGAAAGATACTGTGTACTGGAAAATGTCACTAAGAAACCTACGTGTGTCCCAGCTTGCTAGGCTATTCCAAACTTCTGCAGACACCATCACCATCTCTGGGACTGCCAGCTTGCGTGGAAACACATCTTATGGCGGAACATCCCACCATTCTGAAGTCTTTTTCAAGGACTTAGGAAAAATATATGTGAAAATATTTAATCACCAGATTCTAATTTTAACTAGCACATGTCAAACACATCCCGGGCTCCCAGTTGAAAAATATTTGCTTTAATTCCCAATATTTCTCTTTACCTTTTAGAAACGGTCACATGGTTACTTCTGAATCTTTGTGGGATGAATTGGCCAGTTGGTGTTATCAGTGTCATTCACTGTCTCTTCCTTTTTTCCTTCCCATCATTTGACATTGGTTTGTTTACCCTGATCACACCCATCCACTCACTTCTAGTCTTATTCAAAGTTCTGACAATCGCCGTGGAAGGAAAAAAGGTAGAAACTAAAGCTATTGGTGCAAATGCTGCTTTGGATTACCTGTGGATTTTGAACATCCCTTCCATTCCTGACCCCTCAAACAGAGTGGATGATTTGGTATTTCAATATATGAAAAGCCACGGATGACTGATAAAAACACACCACGTTTTCATGATATGGTTCCAGGAGCAGCTTGTTACAGTTCCTGTCTTTGCTGGGGTGCTGTCCCTGAGCCCCACGGGTGCACAGCCTTGTCCGCAGCTACCGTCCCTCTCTGTGGGGTTGGGGTATGAGGCAGTGACCACAGACACCCGGCAGTGACACAACTGCACACGCACAATGGCAGAGAGAGAGCAAGAGCTAAAAAGGTTCTGGTTTGGGCCCAAGTCACTAGTTGCTTCACTTCATGAACAAAAGCAGGTGCCTTATAAGCTTACATTATTTACAGTGCTCAGATTGTTCAAACATCCACCCAAAGCCGAGGACCACCACGCAACAAAGAACAATTCAATGAACTATGTACAGAATTTACAAGGAAGTTTACATAATATTCTACATTCCGTTAGCAAGTTTACCTTTGTTTGCTTTCAGGAAACTGAGATATTTGTTCTTTTTCTGTCTTTTTCATCCCAGTAATTGCTGATTGAACCAACATGAACAAATGCTCGCACATTCCTTTTTCCTCCCTCCTGGGATATAGGATTACATTTTGTTTAGGAAAAAAAAGAAGTGGCACATCACCCTTTGGTGAGATACTATTCAAAACTGTCCATATAAGAAATCACAGAGGTCGCTTCCTTCTAGCATGATAAATATGTTTTCCTTGTTCCTTGAACTTGGTGAATTTCAATTGAGCTCTTTCTTAAATGAATATTCCTAAAGGAATCAATTGATTTTGGAAAGACGGAATTTAGTCAACATTTCTATAGGTTGTACATAAGGTTTGCTATCCTTGGATCCAGAAGCCAAACTTTATTCTCTGCACCACATTTTTCTCTTTGCATTTTCAAGATCTTTCATTGATTGTAATGCACAATAAAGATGCTATATATGATATGAAAACACGTATCACTTAATCAGCAGAATTGCCAACCAGTCTGCTGTTTCTGTTTGGCAATATAGAGGACAGAGGCAGTAATCCTGGATGACTTAAGCTAAAAATGTGTCTTTATCTGAGTCTGCCTCACAAAGCTGGTACACGTAACATACATGTCACCTCTGATATCTTAAGCCAAGGAACGTTGAGTAGAAAAAAATGAGTGTGTAGTCATCATTGCCAAATGAAAGATGAGATTTCTGCTGGGTCTACACAGGTTAAATCTATGACACAGTTTATGAACTGTGAACATGGAGTCCCCTGGACATGACTGTGGCATAGGAGAGTGAGTCTGTGCAATTTTCCGCCCCTGCTGCCACTTCAGTAATGCAGGAGATTATGGCTATTTTCTTGGCAAAAATAAAACAACCCAGTAATAGCGAGACAGTAACCACTCGATAATGTACTGATCTGAATCTTTCAAAAGTGGGGACTGGTTTGAGGGCACTTAGGAGCGTCTAACAATTTTTATGTGTTATGTACATCATTTAGAGCAAGACAAGGAAGAGAGGCAGAGAAGGAAGTAGTTTTTTCCATGCACTGTTAAGCCTGGAGGGAGTTTGGGTAGGGGCCATGGAGGAGGGGATTTGGCTGGGAGGTGTCCTAAGGAAGGAAGTGGGGACAAAGGTCATTAACCGGAAATAGGTCAGCTTCTCCATTTTTCAGGCTGCCATTGCCTCTAAATCAGAGCTCTTAACAGAATTTGCACAATCCTGTGGCTGTGCCCTCTCTAAGCCTAGGAAGATACACAATGATACTATTTTGTGCCTGTGGTAGATTCAGGCTTATTAATTTTACAGTTTACAAAGGTTAAGATACAAGAATTAAAAAATGTTCTCTTTTTCTCAGAGATGCTTTATATCTAAACTACAAGCATCAAATTCTTTAGACTTTTAAGGCAAGATAAAAAAAAATTAATAAAGATATAAATTACCTCAATCTTTTCCAAGGAGAATGATCTAAACAAGTGAATAAAGAAAAATTGTTTTGTTAAGGAACATAGATCACAGATACTTCCTAATTTAACATTTCATCCTTAAAAGCTTTTTTAAAAACTTTGACAACAGATAATTCATTCCTTTTGAGCTTCAGCCCAAAGTCTCCCCTCCTGTGTTTAAAATACACAGTATTTCCTGAGTGGTCATTGGGAATATTAACCTTACAGTCACTGGAATGGGCACATTCCATTCTATTTGGGCATTTCATGATGGCAAAGCCTCTTTCCCTGCTGAGAACTAGTCAGTTTCAAAATGGATCCCTTCATCCCCAGAGGCTGGAGATTTCCTTGACCACGGAACTGTGATTATGCAATTGAAAACCTAAATGAGAATTTGGTCCCCATACCCTACTAATTGCTTATGAAACCACTGAGATATTTTTTTCCAGTAAAAGCACAGTTTTTAAGTTCTTACTAGTATATATTGTCTTTGGCTGTAACCATTCATTTATTTTAGGCTTCTCTTTTCTTTTTGCTTTCTAAAAAGAGTATCTCAGGACTCTGTCCCCTTGGGCTTATCAGCAGGAATTTTAGCTTTCCAATTAAAACTATAATTTCTAGCAGCTGATGCTATTGTCAACACGGACCCTCATCACAGCTTTAGGGAGAAAGCCAGACCATCAAATGATGCAATCATCCTTATTATTACCTAAACCCTTATTTGACATCTAGGGGTCAGATCCCCAATTGCCTCCATCACTGATTGGTTGTTTTAAGGTTTTGCTCAACCTTGCGCGTGAACATACAGAATTCTTAAGATACTCAGGGTGAGAAAAAAATTAATGAGGCTATCATGACATAAAATGGGATAAATGTCAACCATAGCTGGTTAGACATGTTTAGAACTGTGTGTTGGGCTACTGAGGGATGCCCCTCCTGTGACGATCATGACCACAGTAATCCGTGAGCAGAGAGAAGGCAGAGCAGTAATGACTGCTGATTAATAATTAATGAGTGCAGGTGTGGTCTATGCTTTAGGGGCTGGTATAAATGTTTGAAGGCCCAGTGATTTTGTGATGGTTGTTATCTGTGGTTTTCCTATTTTGAAATTTTTCTTTAAAAAGGAAATCTGGCCCGAGAGGAGAATGACAGCAAAATGGGTGTATGTGCATTTCTGGAAGCTTTCATCTCCTACTTTGGAATGCAGAGCTCAGACAGGTGAGCCCTAAGGTATTAGCTGGGGCCTGTGCAACAAGGCCTGTCACCATTAGGTGCTCTCTGGAAGGCTAAGAAGTATATACTATCTGATTTAAGATTTGGCAGTTTAAGTAACTGCCGAGGCACCCTTTTCACAGCACATAAGTCTTACCTTCCTAATGGAAAGGGCAATGTTTTTTACACACACACAAAAATGGTCACCATCCTGTTATCAAAGCCTTCCTCCCCCATTCGCTTCCTCTCATTCTTTCTGGAGCAGGATCTAGGGAGACGTGAAAGAAAGCATGGCTTCAGGCCACAGAGGCAAGCAATTCCAGGGTAATGAAATAAGTTCAAGGCTGCTCATTTGAGATAGTCAGTTAAATAAATCTCCATTGCCCCAAGACTCCTTATTCTTAACAAGAAGAGAAAAATGTTCTCAATGGCCACTAGGATGGATTTGAGTGTTATTTTAAACCTGTCTGCAAGTCTGAGAAAGAAGCAGTTTTTTGTTTGTTTTGTTTTGTTGTTTTTTTCTGAATATCCAGCTTAATGGTGAGGTGAAGATGGCAGATTTGGTTTGCACAACCTCCATCAGCCCTTGTCAATCCCTCCCTCCTCTCCCATGGAGCTGGGATCCCTTCTGCAAAGGAGCTGAGGGGACCTGAGGGCGGAGGGGAGTCTTCCTTTCTCTTCTAGGCTCCTTTTATCCCTCCTTCTTCCTGGAAATCTGTAACTTGTCAATGGCTTTGTGTTTTCTTCTGAGATCCTGGAAATTGTGTGTGTTTTTTTTGTTGTTGTTGTTGTTTTTTGTGGTTTGTTTTTTTTTTTTTTTTTTTTGGCAGCATGAGATTGTTACAGTTTACCAGGAAGCAGTGCGCGCAGAGAGCTAAGTCCTCTTTTCCTTCTGATTTAAAAAAAAAAATAATAAAAAAACTCCAGGGCAAGAAGGTAGGACTGCTAAAGATCTATCTATCTAACTTCTCCCTTTGTGTGTGTTTGTATTTTGTTTGTAAACATGGCAATTCATAGAGCTCTGACAGAGCTGATAACCTGGACCACAGTAGACTGGAAAAAATAGTGTTCTTTGTGGCGTGTGTGTGTGTGTGTGTGTGTGTGTTGTTTTTGGAAGTAAACATGGTGCAGTAATAAAATTGATATGCAAGACCTAAAACCAGTCGGATGGCTGCATCTCTTACCTCAAAAAAAAAAAGCACAGCAGTGTCGCTGCTGGGGGCCTGTGGGGATTAAAAATCAAAAGAGGAAAGGAGTCGTTTAGGAACCCTTAGGACAGACCTTAGTGTACATAATAAAGCCAATAAACGACGTTGAAAAGAGAAAAGGTGATGGGGAAGAACATTCGGGACCACTTGTCTATGGAGTTCACATCAGTCAAGTCGGGGATTTTGACTTTGAGCTGCGAGGCGCGCCGGCGGATGCGGCCCTTGCTGTGCGCGCCGTGTCGGTCCAGCGCGCGCCCGTAGGCCTCGCCGCGGCTGCTCAGCGGCTTGCGGTACTGGATGCTGGCGCTGTCGTACGAGTACATGCTGCTGGCCTTGGGCTCGCTCACGCCCGTGAGCACCTCCGAGCCGCTCGTCTCGTTCCTGATTTCCAGGGTGCTGAGCAGGATGTTGCCGTGGGCGTCGACCTGACGGGAAAGGACACGCTCAGGCCCGACTGCCGGGCAGGGTCTGTTTTCATGACCCTGTAACTGATGGGCACCGCGCCCCCCTCTCTTTAAAGACTGTCGCTGGACGTCCCGCTCTGCGTGCCTCCCGGAACTGGATCTAGCATCTGTGTGCCCATCGTCATCAAGTTCCCTAATCTACCACTATCTATGGAATCCATCATCTGTCTGTGTCTGTTTGTGTTTCTATCTAGTCCATCAATCTGTCTATAGCTGTCTCTGTCTGTCTAATCTGTCATCTATCTGTCTGATCTACTATCTACCTATTTAATCCATCATCTCTTTGTCTGACTAATGTACCATCTATCTAATTCTATCTATGTCTCTCTCTCAATCTATCTAATCCATCCAATGCATCGTCTGTCTATATCTGTTTGTCTATCCAGTCTATCATCTATCTGTCTAGTCTACCTAATTAACCTACCATCTGTTTATCTAACTAATCTGCCATCTATCTAATCCTATCTATCTATCTATCTATCTATCTATCAGCTATCTTTCTATCTAACCCATTAGCTGTCTACATCCATTTCTGTCTCTTTATCCAATCCTTATCTATCTGTCTAATCTACCTATTCAACCCACCATCTAGTTGTCTAACTAATCTGCCATCTATCTAATTCTATCTGTATCTTTCTCTCTAATCCTTCCTCTGTCTAGCACTTATCTAGTCTACTTATTTAAACTGCCATCTATTTATCTGTCATCTATTTCTTCATTTATCATCTGTCTAATCTACCACTTATATAATCTACAATCATCTATCTATTTAATCCATACAACATTTAAAGGTATGTATATGGCATTATTTCTTGTCACAAAAGTAGCACATGGAAGTAAAAACTAGTAAAACTAGAAACAAACAGGAAACAAAAATAAGAAATAGAAATTTATAATTTCACTTTTAGAATCCATTATTTGTAGTCTCCTGCTAGCCTTCCTCTTTTTTTTTCTAATTGTATATACTTAGAAACACAGACTCACCTGGTATAGTTTGCTCTACAATCTGCTTTTGTTACTTAAGAGTGTAGCATGGTCCTATGTCCATGTCAATAATTATTCCTCTGTGATATCATTTATTAACAGTTTATGTGGATAAAGCATAACTGGGTTGATCTGTGAGATGGGAAGGTTTGTTTTACTTTTGCAGTATTATAATAAACAAGCCTACAAGGGACATCTTTTAGCTACCTCTTTGTGCATCTCCATAATTATTTCCTCTGGCTAGGTTGCCAAAAGTAGGGTTCGGGGGTCAAAGGGATATGCCTAGCTGAACTTTGGCTTTTGTGTCTCCACCATTACTTATTGTTGCTTCCTGCCATTCCAGTGGCACCTATGCCAGATTTCCTGGTTTTAGTCTATGCTATGCCCACATGCATTTACAGAACTACGAATGTGCGCACATTTGGCCTATCACGTGGCTTTGTTTAACTTCAAGCTGATGCACTTTGCAAACTGATTTACCTTGAGAGGACATGCTCATTCATACAGATGAGTTTGAAGTACTTCCAAGGGCAGTACAGGCAGCTGTGTTTAAATCCAGTGTTATTAGCATCGTGCCTGAGTTATAATAAGTGGTCTATAAATGCTTTCAAATGAAATTAATCTCAGAGAACACTTTTGAGTGTCAAAGGTATAGGTAAGGAGACAAAAAAAAAAAAACAGGTGACAAAGAAAGAGTAAAGTGTAGGAGGAGGCAAAGACAAACAAGAAAGAAGAGAAGGAAAGGTGCAGAGTGGTGGGCTGTGATGCTGGTACATCACAGAGGAGAGAACTAAGATGTATTGAGGGTCCACCGAAAGCTTAGCATAAGGTAGCTGCTTTGTATCTATTCCTTGTTTATCACCTGCAACAGCAAACTGCCTCATGTTTACTCTGCTACTAGATCTGAGATTATGACCTGGATCCTGTCTGATTCAAAGCTTATGTGCTTTTTACTGAGAAAGGACCACTTCATAGTCTTTGGCCTTCACCACATCCTGCAGTGAATTTAATGATGCATTTGATAGCTTTAAGCTCAGAGGTAGTGGGAGAGAACGAGAGAGGGTGACTAAACCTGGCCTCTTCCTCCACTCCCATCTATCATTTCTCTCTGCAAAGTGGCTCTAGCCTAACTGAGCTACCCGTATGTCCTCACTGGCACCTTTATTGCCTTCTTTATTCAGGGAGTTAGTATTAAATTTTGTTGTTGTTAAAACTGCCCTTTTTTGAGTCCTACTACATGATTTATCTCAGTTATTTCTTGTAACTACCCTATGAAATATATAATATTATCCTAGTTCAGCAGACAGGGAAATAGAGACTCAGAGAGCTGAAGTAAACGGCCTGCTATTAAACAAGGAGTAAGTGCCCAATTTGGGATTAAATACAGGGTATTCTTTGTCTCAAATATAACTTTCCCTCCCATTTGCATGTTAATCAATATATTCTCCTTAAGGTCCAATTTAATCCGAATTCTTGTGTGTACCTGTGTACCTTCCCTGATTACAGTAACGTCAAAAACCAACTTCCTCTCCCTCTCTCAGGAAAGGATTGTTGAGCACTTACTCTGTGTCAGGCCCAGTGAAAGGTGTCAGGGATGTGTGTGTGTGTGTGTGTGTGTGTGTTTATGGATGAAAAGACATGCATATGAAAGTTTACATTATGAAAGAGGATGGTAGGGTTGAAGTGACGTGGAACAAAGTGCTGAATTCATTAGAAAAGGGACAAGTACCTTAGAAGGTAATAATGGTGTCCATAATCCTGTTAGGCCCTACAGTGTTTCAGTCAAGGGTATCATAAAACATGGATTTTGTCCTTGAGATGATAATCTCCTTGGAGAGGGGACTGGATGGCTCAGTCAGTTAAGAATCCCACTCTTAGGGCACCTGGGTGGCTTAGTCAGTTAAGCGTCCGACTTTCGCTTAGGTCATGATCTCGCGGTTCGTGGGTTCGAGCCCCGCCTCGGGCTCTGTGCTGACTGCCAGCTCAGAGCCTGGAGCCTGTTTCAGTCTGTGTCTCCCTCTCTCTCTGACTCTCCCCTGCACACGCTCTCTCTCTCTCTCTCTCTCTCTCTCTCCTAGAAATCAATAAAAATATTAAAAAAAAAAAAAAAGAATCCCACTCTTGATTTCGGCTCATGTCATGATCTCACAGTTTTGTGAGTTTCAGCAGGCCCTATGCTGAAAGCATGAAGCCTGCTTGGATTCTCTCTCTGTTTCTGTTCTTTCCCCACTGGCACTTTCCCTGTCTCTCTAAAACTAAATAAACTAAAAAAAAAATCTCCTTAGAGATAGAAGAGTAAGATGTAATTTTGGAAGTGACAAGAGTTTTTAACCAAATGCTAAATGGTACAGGATAGACCATGATTAAGGTTCATAAAACTCTGAGGGTCAAGGAAGCCTTCATGAAGAAGGTGCAGCTCATACTAGGCCTTAAAGATAGAACAAAGGATTGAGAGGTGAAAACTATACTCTCAGCATGGTTTTGTTATTAAATCCATTTCTTCATCTATAAAGAAAAGGTTTTCACTAGGGAATCTCAAGGGTTTGCTTCCAATTTTTGATAGTCGTTGATTATGAATAATATTCCAAGCAGAAGACACAGTAAGAACCAAACCAACCAAAGGAAAAAAATCATATAAAATTGAATCACTTGATCTGTACTGTATGCATCATTAAGCTCCATTATTATGAAATCTCCCTAAGTAAACAAGTTGCTAGAATTTAGAATCTGTCAGTGAAGCATGTAGATGCTCCTCATTAAACCGAGGTCACGCAAAACTACATTTTATGAAGATATTTTGGTTAACTTTGGTACAGATTCTAATGCACCTATAAATTGCATGATTTTTCTTGATTAGTTTGTTCAAACCCCTCAAAATATTTTGTCATCAGGCTAGAAATCATAGCTGTAAGTGATTTGACATATAAAATAATGAATCCGGTTCTACTACTACCCATGAGAGCTGACTGCATTACTATACAGCTGAATCAACATTACCGTGTCCCTTACTAGGAAAATTTAAGAAGTGTCATATAACGGTTATGACCAATCTCCAGTCTTTCTCCTACACAGTCTAAAACTTATCCTAAAAGCCAGTGTTACAGACTCTGTGTGTGTGTGTGTGTGTGTGTGTGGTGTGAGTGTGTGTGTGTGAGATGGTGTACTTGTGCATTTCTCCTGAAGTGCATTTTCATTCCCTACCTCTTAAGCGTTTTGCTCCATGGTAAGGTGATTGTGTGGCAGCAATCCCACTGCTGACACCAGCAGGTTTCTGGTTGGCTCTGCCCTAACCCTTGTCCTTTGGAGAAGAGTGGCTTTCCATTTACCTCAACAGTATGAAAGCACCAAAAGTATCTTTATATCCACAGCTGGCACAGCTTTCCAAAAATAATATCCATGGGAAAAGTGGCCATTGTCTTTTTACATCTTCAGAAACAATAAGATGACATGTCATAGATCCCCTCAACATCTGCAATGGTTAAATGATGCCTAGTTAATAAGGGATTAGATCAACTGCTGAATGGGGGATGGTCTAGGCATCAAAGATTCTTAAATCTTGAAACAGAAGGAAGTGAGGCAAATGCAAATGTCCACACAGTGGATTTCCAGGGCATGTACAGACAGATTTCCTAAAGCGTTCATTGCCAATGTTGAAATAGCTGTTCATTTGGATAATCATTCCTCACGCCTCATGATGCCATAAAGGGAGATTTTCCACTCTGATCCCTGGGAGAGAAACTAATGGGTCAATACTTCCAGCTTCTTTTCCCTTTCTCCTCTCCCACTGCTCCCCACTGGGCATATTTGGGAGAAGGAGGCAGGTGTACTTGGCTCCTTGTCTTCTGGATATTGTTCTCCTTCTGATCTGCCTGCAGAGAAGGTACAGTCCCGTTAGGGATGTGCGTATTGAACGTGCTGGATTGGTGAGGAAGGCCTGTCATTGTCAGGTGGTTCTGGTGACTGGGGAGATAAATCTA